CCGAGCTTCATTAGAGCAATATCCCAGTTTAAACCCATGCCAGATACTAACTGCGTCTTGTTAACAGCTGTCCTTGCCTCCTTTTGTAATATTTGCTCCAAATTATACCTAACCCATTTTGCATATAATCTCTTTAACACGTATTCTTAACCCCCTGTTGTTCACAATCTCTACCAAACACAGCCTATACACACAAGCCTTTATTAAGACATTCCGTCTTATACAGACTCCTGTTAGAAATGAATCTAAGAAGAAATGAGAATCAGGAGAAGAAATTGAATCCACGCTCAGAAAAAAGAAAAAGAAGAAAAGGAAAGAATATCTATGTTCAAAAGTTGAGACTATATACATCGTTTTTCGTCCATAGAGAACACAGCCTATACATAAGATCCTTTTTTTTCAAGTTTCTTTAGAATCGCTCGATGGCCCGTGAGGTACTTGTAAATATACTCTTTTCTGAGAAACTCTTCACCTTCGTACTTAATTCGTCATCTCCGACATTATTCAAAAGATCCGAAATTATTCAAACCATTTTCAACACTATATTGATTCTGATATTTCACCATGAGTGAATGTGTATTAGTTAGCAGCCCTAGCACAAGCCGCTCTTTGAAATTTTGGAAACGCCATCAACAATGGTGTCCGCCCTAGTCATCTAAAATCATCCTCAATAGAAAAAAAAACTATTTAAAAGAATCTAGTAAATGCCTTTTTTATATATTGTTACCTTTTAATCTATTTGTCCATTTATTCTGAAAAAATATTTTTCTTTGTTTCGTTAATTCTCATGAAACTATTGACCAACAAGAAATCAAAATGACGCTCGCTCTGAATGAATTACATCTTTTTTTAATTCAAGTTATGATTATGAAGATGATATAAAGAAGATAATGATTGAAATCATCTATTCAAAGAAGTGAATATGAACTCGTACAACAGGTATGTCCTCTACCTATATGATCAAGTGTCTGATCGTTCTTTATGAATGTGGCATGATTATTGGTTCAATAAATATTGTGCTCACGTGGGGAATAAGATCAAAACAAATATCGAAAAAACATATTTTTTTCTTTTCTGGAACTGAAGTTCTATCATGCTCAGCTTGATTTATGGATTCTGATTTATCTAAATCTGATGATTTTTTATACTTTCAACAATTTTTGTAATCTTATTTTCTTTCCCTATCAATTGTAATTTAAATCTCCTGGATAGCAATCAAACAAATACCTCAGGTTTCTGGAGTCTCATCTTTCATAAAACTCATCTCTAGCGACCTGTGGTATTTGTTTGATTTAGTTCCTTATGGACAAAACTCAAGGAAGTTGTATCTTTCAGCATGTATATCGGGATTCAGATAATGACTCGAATATACAGCGACCTTTATTGAAGATACACGAGATAACCAAGTGTGAGCAAAATTACCTCGTCTCCTTCAAAAAAAAAATCCGACGACCGGCGAGACATCAAAGACTTTCCACTTCCTTCAAGTTTTGTCCCTGTGGAGAATTTAGAAATAATATTGTGAATATTTCAACAAATAAGCTTAATTTACACTTAAATTTCTTCCGAAGGGGTTCCTATATCATGATTAAATTTACAAATTGACATATAACACATACTTTAAAGTATAAATATTTAAAATCCATACATATAACTTTCTTCTATTTACATATAAAAATATTTAGGTGGCCCTTATATTCATATTAGTTTTTTTTTTTACATTAAATACATATTTAGTATATGAAAACATTAAAACAAGAAAGTTTCTTTGACACATAAAACACTACTGTCCTTACTGCGATGGAAAAATATTGAGAAGGCTTGGCTCAGTAGTGGTGAAGCCTCACAGCGTCAATTTAATCTACCAGACCTGGTACCAGGTTTACCACTAAAGTGCCCTCCCAATATATATCGCAGTAAGAACAGTAAAAGTTTGTTTTATGTGTAAAATAAACATCCGTGCTTTATTGATTTCATTTCCTATACATAGATGGCATTGCTTTATAAATACATATTTTCTAATGACATTATTTCTTGTCAGTTTCTAGGCGAGTCCTTAGAAATGTTATAGTTTGATATGTTAAAAAAAAGTCATATAAAAAAAGACATTTCATCATTCCATCGCCACCAGTATTCACAGCTGTACGGCCACTGTACGGAGTGACATCACTTAGTATGTCCTACTTCTACCGATAAATACATGATAACATGTAGTAGTTTGTCTACACAACGGCCAACGACCATCCAATGTTGTTGTCGTCGTGTCCAATGGAAAGATGTCTCATACATCTCTATCACAGCAGTCGTAATGTCTTCTATCTTGGGTGGGTAAAGCTGCTGTTCTGGGTCCATGTCAATTTTCTGCAAGGCTGCGGTCATTGATGGACATGAGAATATGAGGGTAGGTAACGACCACCCAATGATAAATAAATAAGGCAATCCCATTTACAATCTTTATATATCAGATAAAAAAGAACGAAAAATAAATATATAATTTACATAGATAAAGCCACAAAATATATCGGTAGAGGGGATATTGCTGCGTCGTTGCTGTATCAGGATGATTAAATCAGCACACAGGTTCGATAAAGATCTCTATTCTCGAGCTATAAACCCGATTCATTCTTACATGGCCACAAAAACAATGTAAACAGCGAGCAGTCATTGTTCTCGAAGAAGCACGCCCGACGTCACACGCCACCGCTTCCTTCCAAGCTTTCTTTTTCCAACGGTCTTCGCCGCTAGGCCTCGCCTGCCACCACGACATTGTCGAGAATCTTTCCCTCTTTCACCGTCGTTACAATATAAAGACATATCGCCATACCATGGAACGACACGTGAGTGTCCTATGTCTCCAACCTTGCAATCTTAATGTTATAGAGGACGTTGAAGAGTCGTCAGCATGCGAGGATGCTTCCATATCATCAGGTTGGCAGACTTTTTTCTGATGACAAAAGCAAAATATAAAGCCGCTTTCTTTTAAGCTACTTTTCATCGAACATTCATTCATTTATCAAAATAGGGTCAAATTTGAAGCTCACCTTTTGTACGATTGTATTTCTTGGGTTGGGTTTACAAAGATAAAGCCACAAAATTTAATCGGTAAAGAGGATATAAAGAAATCTCGCCATACCATGGAACAACACATGAGTGTCCTATGTCTCCAACCTTGAAATCTTAATGTTATAGAGGACGTTGAAGGGTCGTCAGAAATCCAATACTGCGAGGATGCTTCCATCTTATTTAGGTTGGAATACTTTTTTCTGGTGGCAAAAGTCACGATTCAAAGCTGCTTGCCTTTCAAAAACCCGATGTTCTGTCATTTAAGCTACTTTTCATTAGGCATTCATGATAAAGGATATGATAGATGTTATAGAGGACGTTGAAGGATCGTCAGCAGTCCAATACTGCAAGGATGCTTCCATCTAATCAGGTTGGTTTACTTTTTTTTTCTGGTGACAAAAGCAATATTCAAACCCGCTTGCCTCTTAAAACCCCGATGCTCTGCCATTTAAGCTACTTTTCATCTGGCATTCATTCAGTGATCAAAATAGCGTCAAATTTGAAGCTCGCCTTTTGCACAATTGTATTTCTTAGGTTGGTATAGTCTTCTGCATTAATCTTAAAAGATATAGACTTCCTCTGAGTCTCTAGACTAGAAATGCTTGCAAATAATTTTTGTATTCTGTGACATGAATCTTATACAAGACTGAATAGTTTTCTAATCAATCCAAAAATATTTATAATCTTGGCACTCGGTAAGAGCAACAAACCTTAAATATACTTATCATTTACCCAGACCTCCGAATACATTCTTGATGTTTCTTCTTTTTAGAAAACAAGATTCTGTGGCAAAGAATAATCAAACGGTCCCAACAAAGACTATAGCAATAAGAACAAGTCTGTATGTTTAAAAGTTGTAAGAATTGTTCCTTCCACGTGGCCGACCTAAAGTCAAGTGGGCGATAGTCACAGATGTCGGTGTTAGAAAATTAATTATTTAATCAATTATGTCACAGATGTCAGTGGTAGAAAAAGAACGAAAGAAAGAAATCAATTAAATTTATTATTTAATTAATTTAAATCAATTAAAACGGCATATTTTGATCGCTCACAATATCAACTAAACGGCGGATTGGCCAAATATTATGGAACAAACCTAAATCAACGTTTAATTGATATTTGTTCCACTAGATGGCGCTCTGTCGTCTATAAATGCTCATGTAAGCTGTCAGAGGGATGGGATATATACTGTTTTTATTTTTAATGGAAGTATTTCAAACATGGGGATGTAGCTCAGTGGTAGAGCGTTCGCTTTGCATGTGAAAGGCCCGGGGTTCAATCCCCCGCATCTCCACTTTTTTTTTTTTTTTTTTTTTTACACGTGGTCTAGGATATTTGGCTTTTACCCAGAAGGCCCGGGTTCTATTCCCGGCATGAGAATTTTTAGAGTTCGCATAAAGCGAATGGTACACGCAGGAGAAACGAATTGTTGAACGCATTTTAATAAATAATTCATAATCAAAGTAGGATATGAATAATTCTTATTAAAACGCCCATCTCTCATATTACAGCTACAAATATTGATCCTTCAAATTCTATCAGAACCAAGTTACGTGTGAGTCTAAAGTAGCAACAAACCTTCATAGAGATTAAGCAACAATTCTGAGGAACTCGTGTATGTGATGCCACTGAGTATGTGTGTAAGTTCACAGAAACTTTTTTCTTACCGGTTGGCGCCTATAAATAATTTGGCATCACATACACGAGTTCCTCAGAATTGTTGCTTAATCTCTATGAAGGTTTGTTGCTACTTTAGACTCACACGTAACTTGGTTCTGATAGAATTTGAAGGATCAATATTTGTAGCTGTAATATGAGAGATGGGCGTTTTAATAAGAATTATTCATATCCTACTTTGATTATGAATTATTTATTAAAATGCGTTCAACAATTCGTTTCTCCTGCGTGTACCATTCGCTTTATGCGAACTCTAAAAATTCTCATGCCGGGAATAGAACCCGGGCCTTCTGGGTAAAAGCCAAATATCCTAGACCACGTGTAAAATAAAAAAAAAATAAAAAAGTGGAGATGCGGGGGATTGAACCCCGGGCCTTTCACATGCAAAGCGAACGCTCTACCACTGAGCTACATCCCCATGTTTGAAATGCTTCCATTAAAAATAAAAACAGTATATATCCCATCCCTCTGACAGCTTACATGAGCATTTATAGACGACAGAGCGCCATCTAGTGGAACAAATATCAATTAAACGTTGATTTAGGTTTGTTCCATAATATTTGACCAATCCAACGTTTAGTTGATTTGTGAGCGGTCAATACATGCCGTTTTAATTTTTAATTGATTTAAATTTATTAAATAATTAAATTTAATTGATTTCTTTCGTTATATTTTTCTACCACCGACATCGGTGACACTTGACTTTAGGTTGGCCACATGGGGAGGAACAATTTGTATAACTTTTAAAGCACACAGACTTGTTCTTATTGATATAATCTTTGTTGGGACCGTTTGGTTATTCTTGGCAACGGAATCTTCTTTACTAAAAAGAAGAAACATTAAGAATATATATATCGTATATTTTAAAACTGTATAATAATGACACTTTTAGTATATGTCATATATCTCTCAATTGGTTGGAGCCGATGCCTTGAAATATCCAACCCTTCTTTTAAAATGTACACCATTTCTATTTGCTACCACCCCCATATTTTGTATATATGCTATATCTTTATTAATATAACCTGTACACCCTTTTTGTATATAAACTAAAATTGGTGACGTCAAAATAAAGATCCAAAGAGAGAGTGGTCAGCTAGTGGCAGGGACAGAGGGGAGGGAAAAAGGCAATGCCCAGCCCATGTGGGGTCCCGAGGGACATTCTTATAGAGACCCCCCTGTAAACAGGACAGGTTTTTGGCAGGGGGTCAGCAGATGGTTCTAGAATGTGCACATCGACAGACGGCTTCTGTCTTGCACGCACTCTCTCTCTCCATGTCTCGGTGATAAGCATCCAAGTTTGTGTCATGGCCTCTACCTCTGTTCAGTGGGCTGTTCCCGATCACTCTCGGTGTTAAAATCTAACCCTGCCTCTGCTTCTTGTCCGCGTGTGGGAAGATCATCAACACTCGCCTCACGTACACGACTGCCAGTTCATCCATACGTCGGCACATTGCAACAATATTACATATATATTTTTTTTGCTTATCCCTAGTACACGTGGTATAGGCCATGATAATCATGGTGGGTAGAAGTTGGCGACTGCTTTTACTGTAAGTGCATCACATGTCTACACATGTGAAAAGCAGTTTGACTTTGCACTTATAAATGTGCCAGAGTTTGGTTACTTGCACTCGCTGGTGGGGTTGGACTTTTGCAAGAATCGGGAGCCATTGGAGCATTTTTTTTAACGGTTTAGACCACTCTACCACCGACCCCCCATCAAGAATGTATTCGAAGGTCTGGTAAATGATGAGCATATTTAAGGTTTGTTGCTCTTACCGAGTGCCAAGATTATAAATATTTTTAGGATGATTAGAAAAGCTACCTATTCTTGTATAAGATTCATATCACAGAATACAAAAATTATTTGCAAGCATTTCTATTCTAGAGACTCAGAGGAAGTCGATATATTTTAAGAATAATGCAGAAGACTATACCAACCCAAGAAACACAATGGTTCAAAAAGCGAGCTTCAAATTTGACCCTATTTTGATAAATGAATGAACATCAGGCATTCATGATAGAGGATATGATAGATGTTATAGAGGACGTTGAAGGATCGTCAGCAGTCCAATACTGCGAGTAAGCTTCCATCTCATCAGGTTGGTTTACTTTTTTTCTGGTGTGACAAAATCAATATTCAAAGCCGATTCAAAACTCCGATGCTATGCCATTTAAATGGCAGAACATCGGGTTTTTGAAAGGCAAGCAGCTTTGAGTGTTGGTTTTGTCACCAGCAAAATAGTATTCTAACCTAATGATATGGAAGCATCCTCGCAGTATTGGATTGCTGACGACCCTTCAACGTCCTCTATAACATTAAGATTGCAAGGTTGGGGACATAGGACACTCATGTGTCGTTCCATGGTATGGCGAGATTTCTTTATATTGTAACGACGGTAAAAGAGGGAAAGATTCTCGACAATGTCGTGGTGCTAGGCCTAGCGGCGAAGACCGTTGGTAAAAGAAGGCTTGGAAGGAAGCGGTGGTGTGTGACGTCAGGGGTGCTTCTTCGAGAACAATGGCTGCTCGCTGTTTACATTGTGTGGCCATGTAAGAATGAATTGGGTTGATAGCTCGAGAATTGAGATCTTTATCGAACCCGTGTGCTGATTTAATCATCCTGATACAGCAACGACGCAGCAATATCCTCTCTACCGATATATTTTGTGGCTTTCTCTATGTAAATTATATTTTTATTTTTCGTGTTTTTTATCTGATATATAAAGATTGTAAATGGGATTTCCTTATTTATTTATCATTGGGTGGTTGTTACCTACCCACATATTCTCATGCCCAGCAATGGTTGAACCTTGCAGAAAATTGACATGGACCCAGAACAGCAGCTTTACCCACCCAAAATAGAAGACATTACGACTGCTGTGATAGAGATGTATGAGACATCTGTTCATTGGACATGACGACAACAACATTGGATGGTCGTTGACCATTGTGTGGACAAACTACTACATGTTATCATGTATTTATCGTTAGAAGTAGGACATACTAAGTGATGTCACTCCGTACAGTGGCCGTACAGCTGTGAATACTTGGTGTCTTTTTATATGACATTTTTAACATATCAAACTATAACATTTCTAAGGACTCGCCTAGAAACTGACAAGAAATAATTTCATCAGAAAATATGTATTTATAAATCAATGCCATATATATATAAGAAATGAAAGTAATAAAGCACGGATGTTTCTTTTACACATAAAACAAACTTTTACTGTTCTTACTGCGATATATATTGGGAGGGCACTTTAGTGGTAAACCTGGTACCAGGTCTGGTAGATTAACCCGACGAAACTGCTGTGAGGCTTCACCACTACTGAGCCAAGCCTTCTCAATCGCAGTAAGGACAGTAGTGTTTTATGTGTCAAAGAAACTTTCTTGCTTTAATGCTTCCATTTACTAAATATGTATTTAATGTAAAAAATATTAATATAAACATAAGGACCACCTAAATATTTTTATATGTAAATAGAAGAAAGTTATATGTATGGATTTTAAATATTTATACTTTAAAGTATGTGTTATATGTCAATTTGTAAATTTAATCATGATATAGAAACCCCCCTTCGGAAGAAATTTAAGTGTAAATTAAACCTATTTGTTTAAATATTTACAACATTCTTTCTAAATATACACTCTGGGACAAAACTTAAAGTAAGTGGAAAGTCTTTGATGCCTCGTCGGTCGTCTTGTTTATTTTCTTTTGAAGGAGACGAGGTAATTTTGCTCACACTTGGTTATCTCGTGTGTCTTCACTAAAGGTCAGTGTGTATCCGAGTCATTATCTGAATCCCGATATACATGCTGAAAGGTACAACTTCCTTGAGTTTTGTCCATAAGTGTATATTGTGATAAGGAAGTAAATCAAACAAATACCACAGGTCGCTAGAGATGAGTTTTATGAAAGATGAGACTCCAGAGACCTGTGGTATTTGTTTGATTGCTATCCAGGAGATTTATACCACAAGTGATAGGGAAAGAAAATAAGATTACAAAAATTGTTGAAAGCATCAAAAAACCATCAAATTTAGATAAATCAGAGAGAGAGAGAGAATCCATAATTCAGGCTTAGTATGATAGAACATCAGAGTCAGAAAAGAAAAATGTTTTTTCGATCTTGGTTTTGTTGGGTTTTTGTATATTTGCTTTTTGCATATTTGTTCTTTGTGTGTAGCACAATTTACCAAGTTTCCTTTTAACTTATTTATGCTATAAATAGGACGTAAGAATTTTTTTTTTTTACTTATCCTTTTAGTCTAAATTAGACAAGATCTTGGAGGTCGTGCTCGTAAAGAAGCTCAAGAACTCTTCTTGGTTCTCTGTACAGGGATCTTTTGTCCTTTCCAATGCAATTTAGTAAATGTTGGGGATTGGCCTCATTGGTTTTGCACCTAGTGCACATGGGGAAGCTTTTGGCTCTCTCTTTATAGACTAGAAGGCGCAGGTGACCAGATTTCCATCTGGCCAACTATCTCGATTCCCTTCTGTTTAGTTGGAGGGTCTGTTTTTTGGGGTTTTCTACCTGGTACCAAGAATAGAGTAGTCTTGTTGCCTTAAATGCCTTTTGCTACTGTAGCTTTTAGCTTGACAAATAAAGAATATTTGTTTCAAGTATAAGAGTGGTTTCGTGGCCCAGAGCGACGCGACAGGCTTTGATCCTATTTCCCACGTAGGACAATATTTATTGAACCAATAATCATGCCATATCCATAAAGAACGATCAGACACTTGATCATATAGGTAGAGGACATACCTGTTGTACGAGTCCATATTCACTTCTTTGAATAGATGATTGCAATCATTATCTTCTTTATATCATCTTCATAATCATAACTTGAATTAAAAAAAGATGTCATTCATTCAGAGCGAGCGTCATTTTGAATTCATGTTGGTCAATAGCTTCATGAGAATTAACGAAAGTAAGAAAAAATAATTTTCAGAATAAATGGACAAATAGATTGAAAGGTAACATTATAAAAAAAAAGGCATTTACTAGATTATTTTAAATATGGAGGAGGGAGAGCAGTAACAAGTTCGGTAAAAAACCTGGGCTCAGCTGGCCTGGCTGATAGTACACTGTAAGGGCTCCTAATCCAGGGATACAGGATGAGCAGCGTTTGTACTCCATGTTAGGAGCAGCTGCACATGGCGTCTGTTCCTCGTGTCAGAGGCGGCCATTTATTTTGGAGCTAAGTCGGCCTGCCACTGAGTAGTGCTCCCAGTCTTAATGACAAAGGCAGACACATTCTACTTCACCCAGTCATGATGGTTGTCAAACAGACACCATCAAGGGTCACAACTTGATACCCTAATAT